CAACAAATAACTTATCCCTGCCGGGATTCTAATATGTTAATTTGCAAACAGGTTATTAGAGCAGACCTGCTTATCAACTTTACTGTGTAGTCTTGATGTAACACCGAATTCTCTCACCGAATTCACAAGGAGATGTATGGCAGTCACGGACGAGAAATATTAATTGGATCTCAGGAGTTACAGGGTCAAGGCGAAAGTACACAGTATCCTTGCTATGCGGTGGCTAGTGTTGCAGGGTGTCTGTTTGTGCAACGAGAATACTCTGTAAGCTCAACTTTGCAATCTGTTACGGCGTTAACCCCATACACCATAGTAGTTATTTCAGATTCGGTCAAATATTTTAAGCTGCTGGTCATCTGTCGGTAACCGGCAGAATAGAGAATTTGCTAAATAAAGTATGTAGTTTGTGGATAAACTTTCAAGCTAATTTGATTAAAAATAAGCTAAACTAGCAACACCATCGTTAAACTGCAAAGGAATCCAAGGATATAAAGAAATGCGTCATAAAACCACTTAAACTGTCTGCTTCTAATCAGGTTTTCTCCTCTGTCTTTGCTATTTTTGTAAAGGACTCATCCTTTGTCACGTTTGTTCCGTGGGAAAATCTTTTTCTTTCTTTTTTTTTTTTTTTTTATTACAAGACCCCGGAAAGCTCTTGTTAGTCTTCTGAATCGTTCGCTCTTAACAGTAAACCTCTTTGAGAAGACAGGGACCAAGATAGAAATACAAATAGAAGTTTTAGATGGCCAAGATATCACTTCGCACTCAAGATCAGCTATGATCCCATGTAAAATACCTCTTTGGTGTTGCACACGGTAAAAATCTGTCTTTTTTGTGGGAAAATTCCAGAATCTTTCGTTATTCCTCCTACATCTGCCGTCCTAACGTTGCAATAAACTCTTATTTCTCTTCAGAATACAGCCTCAAAATTCAAAACATAGCTCGATGTTCAAAGTCCGCGTAATCCCAACTAATCACACTCCTCCTTCGGTTTAATTTCCGCCTGATTTAATTTTAATTTTAATTAAATAAATCATTCACTGACCTGCGGATNACACCATCGTTAAACTGCAAAGGAATCCAAGGATATAAAGAAATGCGTCATAAAACCACTTAAACTGTCTGCTTCTAATCAGGTTTTCTCCTCTGTCTTTGCTATTTTTGTAAAGGACTCATCCTTTGTCACGTTTGTTCCGTGGGAAAATCTTTTTCTTTCTTTTTTTTTTATTTTTTATTACAAGACCCCGGAAAGCTCTTGTTAGTCTTCTGAATCGTTCGCTCTTAACAGTACTGTGAACTTCGATGACTATTTCGAAGAAGGGCTCATTGGTCTCTTCAAAATGCAATCCTTTATACCTGTATTATAACCTCCAAATACAACAAAATTTTGGCTTCCGCTTTAAAACCTAAGTTTCTAAAAATTCGAAAGCATCGACCTCTGTTTCCAAAAGTTCGAAAGCGTTCGATCTTTGTCGGTTCGAATGATGTTCGAATGATGAGGCAAATTACCTCTCCCCCACACCCCCTCCCACCAGTCGCGGTTGCACGTTATAATTCCTTGGCCGCTTACCGTTTACTTGGATTCATTAATTTAAAAAATCAGCCAGTTAAAAAGTAATATACGATCCTGTGGATGTAAGAATTTCAGTCTCAAAGTTGTAAGCGTCAGGTCTGATAGGGGGGGTCTGGACACCCCGGACCCTCCCCCTGGATCCGCCACTGAGACAGGGATTTTAATCAAGCTTCATTTCGTCGAAAGGAATACAAATCAAGCTTCATAACCTACTCTATTACCGCTCCTATCTACTGCCAAATCAAGTATTTTAAGAATCATTGCGTCAGCAGTAGCTCCGCAATGTTCGTGATCGGCAAGATTTATCTATGAAGAAAGCCACCCAACTAATTCAGTTTAAAAGTCTGACAAACTCGGTTAAAAAAGAAAGTCTATAGTTCAAAAGTCTTCGAGTAATGGTTTTCAAAGGAATTCGATCCATATTTATGGCGTTGATGTCTGATCCGCGGAAAAAAATAAAGGGAGTGACTCTTAACCTGAACATCCAGACATGCCCGTATCCGTTATTTGCGACCACAAATGACAGACAGGCGGAAAAAGAGACTCTTTTTGCTCTAGCTACTTATGTTTTTGTTTTGCAGCCAGGCTAATTCAGTGGCATTCTTCCACCAAATTTTTTTCAGCTGATAGGAATTCGTTGTCTCTTCAACGTATGTTGAGGCAGGAACTTTTGTACTGAAGAAGAGAGGAAGAATTTGATTTTATCGCTCACCTTTTCCTCATAAATCAAAGCAAAAGACTCGTGCTTCTAAATAATAACCACATTGACACGTTCGGTATTTCTTCGTGACTCTTTCCTCGAAAAAAAAAAAAAATTATTGACCTCGTCGGTGGAACTGTCTATTTCCAAACGCTATTTTTAGCCCCGTGGTGAAAATCGAGCGCGTGTTTGCAGCAAGAGATTAACTGAGGGTCATTTAATCTCGTGAAACATTTTACAGAGGGCCAAGATGGTTATGTGCCTCAATCCCACCGATCATGTAACAGTCACCTGAAGAAAATATTGATATTAGCAACTTATTGAAATCATGTGTAATGAACGAAAGTATGACGATAGGTTGGCTTGGCTCTTCAGTGAAAACGCAAGACTCAATATTTCTCGCCACAATCTGTGAGAAGACATGATCGAGTAGTCCTGTCTCAGTTTAAATCTCAGCACGAACCGTTTCACATGTATCCGTTTCACTTGTATCCGTTTTTAACAGAAGGGAAACGAGGTCAACATCAGTTAGATAATAAAAGTGTTGTGGAAAATGTATGAGAGAATTTGCAACTACCTGAGTTAAGAAGGTTTGGTAGAGGATTAAACTTGTTTCTAGAAGCCGAGTGAGAAAAACCTGTCGTATTGTTCGGTAGATGGGCACGCGACCTTTTACCTATAGCTTCTTCAGATGAGCCTGGTAGACTAGACGAATACTGAAGTGAAAGACAATGTTATTCAGAGCATGACACAGATATTATTAGTAATTCAGATGCTCCGCCACTAAGCTGTAGCAGAATCTTGGTTGCTGGGTCCCTGCGGAGACAAACTTCCTACATACTGCTAGAGCAGAAAAAGGATAGCCAGGAGAGACGAATATTGTCGGCCGGTGAGGTGAGAGTTCAGTTAAGAACCGCTCTTGTGGAAAATTCCGTGTTCTTACAGTATCTCTACACGGAGAGACTCTGACTGCTATTGTTGAAGGACATGACACAAAACCGAAGTAAATTATCAATTTAGAATATCCAGTTGTCACCAAATATTAGAAAAAAAAAAGTAATACTGAAAAATGGTAAAGGGAACTAAACCATCTTGGAAATGTTTCAGGGACACGCAATGTATTCATACCATTTATGACTGCTAAGTAAAGAAGTTTTTCAAATTTTTCATTAAGTTACAAGTAAGAACTGAAAGAAATATGTAATAAAGGTTTTTTTTTTTACCTTTTATTCCAACCAAGTGTTTTGATTAGAAACCACGATAACCAAACTACTGATCCGCATTAGGTTTTCATACATATCCAGCTTGCATAATATCGTTGGAAAGGACTACGTGCTGTGTTGCCTGTCGGTTACTGTATCGTTTTAGTTCCCCTCTCGAAACCAATTTTAATTTATTATTTTCTTTGACTGCATCAAGATATTATCAAAACATTGGGTGCGATGGTGATCCATGCGGATTCAGTTTTTTTACCGTGTTTGGTTTCCTTGGCCATCAAACTGCCATCAAAGTCTTAAATTGTCATAACTCTGCCCTCTGATTGGCCGAACGGCATAAACTCAAGACACGAGAAAGTCATCAGGGTTTGTAAAGTGGAGTTTCGTTCATTAGGGAGAGCACCTCCTCTCGTCATTCGGCCTTGCAGTGGACCATCGGCCTTTGAGTCTTCGATGTTCTTTACATCCAGCCCATCTTTGTAGGTGTTAAATTATCCCAAACAAGACGTAGAAAGATACATAAACATAAATACGGATTTATATCTTGCTTCGCTGTTGGAGTTTTTGGAGTGTGTAGGCGGGTGACTGTGCAGTTAATTCTGTGGTAATCGTTGGAACAATCGGTCTTACCAATGAGGTCTTGTGGTTGGGCGTCTTTGGCTGTCCTTTTGGCGGTTTTTCTTGGATTTTATGAGGCAAGTTTGCATGTTTGTGTGAGTGATTCATCTAAATCAGCTCTCTCATTCGAGTTTGTGTACTTCAAAAGTTGCACATGATCAAACACCTTTGAATATTTGCGTCATTCGTCCTTGAGTGATGGAATTTACTGGAGAGCTGGTTTCATGTAGCATAAAACCTGTATAACTCGAAATTTTAGCATACAGCTCATCGAATTCATCTTCGTTGGTTTTCTGTGCATTTCCCTATAATTCTCGTGAAATTTTTCCTTAAAGGCAGCAAATTGTCGAAGTTATCCGAGATAAGTTATATCCAAACAATTTTCATAAAATTATACAAATGATAATGAAGCCTTATTGTCAATATCCATTTGCGTGACCTTTGATACAGCTAAAACATTGTAATGACCTAGAATCTTCTCGGTAATTTTTACTTAGTATATGTTATATTGCATTTTTTTTCCTTCGGATGCCCCAGTGAATTTCCACCCGCACGTTTCGTTGCAAGTCTTCTCTGGTACGACGTGATCATGTGCGGGCAAAGATTCCTTCAAATTGTTTGCTTCGAATACGCAAATTTCGAGTGATTTTTTATTTGCAACATTGTGAAAGTAAACAGAAGATGTTATTTAACTCGAAAGCGTCATTCAAGATCTGGATAATGAAGTAATCTGTCATCAAGAGGTCACTACTGTGATTGATAAACACGTTCGAGCTGATAATAGGGCGCTTATTCTCAAAGAAATTGCCTTTGTTATTGCATGAAGTAAACTTCTCATTTTGGGGGCAAAGTCATTTTTTTTGTAATATCTTATTTGTTTTCTTTTTTTCCGGGAAAAAGATTGCAGATTGAAAGTGGAAAAAACTACTTTAAGTTTTCATTGGAAGTAAAATATTTTTCAGCATGATTGCCATGCAGAACTAAAATGTGTTGAGGGAAGTAAAATGTTAAAATGTAATTTTCATTGCCATAACCGATTTCCTGTTTCCGAATGGTGTGCACCATTTTTCATCAGGACTGTCAGGTAACCAAAGATGGTTTCCTATTACAAGGTGTCCAATTACAATAAGAAGGGTAATATTTTCAATGACAATTATCTTTATTAATTTTCTTGTTAACTCCCCTCTTGATTAGTGATGTTGTTCGCTACGTAAAACATTTCAGAAGTCTGCTAGCTAAATGATTCGATGAAATTTGTTATGGTCATGATCAGTTAGTGGTGTAAAACATTGAAATCAAACTCAGTCCCTGATAATGGTTTTGCAATTGATTAATTTGGATTACTCTCCTGCAAGGAGGAAATCTGATTATCTGTACCATCAGTATTTGACCTTTTTTTTAAACTGTTCTGTCTAGAATTTTGAAATGGTATCCTTCCAATCTGTGCTAAGTGAAAATACCTCAGGAATAGTCAGTACATCCACCCTTTCTGTAGCCATGTAAATTGCTGAGGGGGTAGCCTGCGTTGCAGACAGTCTAAACCGCTGGTATAGACAGTCGAACTATACAGGGGATTGTGTGACATGTCCGGCTGCAACGCAGGCTAATGAGGGGGTGGTCCAAAAATTCATAGAATTTTCACAGGGGTGAGGCTGGGATGGAATTTGAGATGGATGCTTTGTTTTACCAATTTAAATCCTGAAGCAAGCATTGCTTGGACCAGTTGTAAATTAACAGTTATTAAAGTGTGATATTTTATAATTACTTTTAATAACATATAATTACATCAATTCCGACCAGTTTAAGAATACTGTAGATCTGTAAGTCAGGGAAATATTTATCAATCATTTACCACTCCAATTCATTGCAAGCTGGTTTGTGTACATTATAGGCTAGTTAGACACATTATTTCCCTTTACATGATGTAGGTGTCACTAAGCGATTAGCCATACATACATACATGATACTTTATTACCACTTCCCCAAAGAGGATTTTCAGAGGCAATACAATTAAGGTAAAAATTAAGGGTCATCCTCTGTCTAAAACTCTGAGGAGGTTTTCTTTGTTTCATGAGGTATTATTTTGCTGTACACTATTGTTTATTATGTTTTGTTGTCTTTTTTTTACGTCACTCGTGAGCTTCACAGGTTTTTACACAGAGGATGAGCCAAAATTAATTATACAATTAAGCTGAAAATTATATATCAGACTTAAAATAGAGCAATGACTTAAATAGCGGAAGTGCCAAGGTTACTTAGCCAATTTGAGTCATTTTCTAGTATTTTTACAAAATGAGCTTTCTCCAGTTAAAGTAATCCTTTTCTTTGGGCAAAATGATATTTTTAGTGGATACAGATCTTAATATCAGTTTGACATGAAGGTAGGAGAGGAAAGTGCTGGGTAGATGGTGTAAAATTGACTTCTGACTGTTAATGATAAACTCTGACACTGTCTTGAAAATAATTTTTTCCTGTGGCTTAACCCTTTATGTTACACCTTCACATCAGTTTACAACTTCTCCATAATGTTCTCTATACATTTCCCAAGGTGCTGTATAGGAGAATTTCTGTAACAATCAAGAACAAGCTTGAAAAAAAAAGTGTTGAATACGCAAGCATAGTCCCCTCAATTAACTATGACGCAAGGTAGAGAACCACACAATAATGAAAAGGAAAAAGAAGCACTTCAAGATAATTTTGATTAAAGTGTGAATTTGAACCACTGAGCAACAAGGCAAACTTTTCAACTTGCTTTTTTTGATGTGTTCTAAAGTGTTGTTGTCTCCTTTTAATTGCAGAATGTTAATGCAAAGGGAACTTTATCTATTCAGCTGCTAGATTACAATAATCCCCGTTCAAAGGATTATAGTGGAAGTTGCTGTGACTGTTGCAAGTTTTTTGGGTACTGCCTGAACGATTGTGAAAACATTTTTAAGCTGACTGTTACATCATATCCTTACACACATTTCAGTGCTCTCTCACCTTGGGCTAGATGGGCGACATATATCATGGGAGATGACAGTTTTGATTTTCCTGGATTCGGCAACACTGTTGGCAGTGGTCTTACAAACCCCTTGACGTATCATTTTAATCAAAGATGGCCGGTAAGGCTCCTAGCTACATGCTGTCTTTTCCTCAGAAATTATGAATTGTATGAACTATTAAATGAACTCTTAAAATAATGATTGCTTTGGATGTTCATATCTTTAAGGGTGCATTTTCTATTGCTCTCGATGTGTGGGATTCAGATAGTGGCAATTTTCTTGGTATTGGACATGAGGATGATCTTATTGATGTAGTTCGGTATGATGTTTCTGATGCACCAGCACAGAAGGATTTACAAAGTTCTGTCGCCAAAACAATTACGGTAAGAAGAAGGCTTTTCATTTTGGAAAGTGAAAAGGAATTTCTCCTTACAATGTATGTAAAGCTTTTCATTCCACTAATTTATTCATGTTTTTCTCGTTGCCATGCACCCACCAATAACGTAGCTCCATTTTCTGCCTTTAAAAGCACACACAACCCACAATTCCTCTATTCGCTCCGACGAAGGGCTAACGCTCGAAACGTCAGCTTTTGTAATCATTACGGTGGCCAATTTACCATTTCAACTTTGTTGATATATCCAAATTATTTCGTTACTCCCACCGACGCAGCCCCAAACAGTTTCTTTCAAAACTATCAGCCTTTATTCATATGTAAAGAAAAGATATGACTCAATGTGTAGATAGAGTCCTGGATATATATTAGGTATATTCTTAAACTATTTTAACAGTAGGAGAGACTGGGATCCGATTTCTCCCGATAATAATCATTACTGAATTATTGTCGATATCAAACATTAAGGTCCCAAAAATAAAGAAAATGATGACCAAGATTTAAATATTGAATTCTCCACAGTCTGTGATTCAGGTCTTTTAACCCTTTAACTCATATAACAGTTGCATATACAGTGTTGAGAATTAGACATTAAATCTTGAAAGCAAGAGAGATAAGAAATATGTGGAAGCAGCTGTAGAATAGTTTTAACCCTTTATCTCTAATTGCTAATTCTCCCCTCTAGCCGCTGGATATTTCTCTTAATTTAGTTACAAGAACTTAATATTTCTAGATCAAGATATCAACTTCTACTTGATAAGTTTGAGTATATTCTCATTACCCATTTGCTGGGTAATGTATGGATATCATTGGGAGAAGTTACATGTTAATCACGTGTGGGAGTTAAAGAGTTAAGTATTGGAAACAGAAGAACATAATCCATCCCTGAATGATAAATAGTTTGGCAGCGCTCGACACTCATGGTAGCCCACTAGCCACAGACTAGTAGAAATTCAGTTTTGGGTAGTGGTTTTCAATTTCCACTATAGCCAGCTTGGCTAGTATTAAGAAACTGTAATTGTTGTAACATCTAAAAACATCTAAGAGGTCACTAGCTACTTGGCTAGTAAGTTGAAAAGTTAGTGTTGAGCCCTGGTCTGGTTCTATCAACTGAATTGAAAATGTTTCCACCTTAAAGAAATTGTTAAGGTAAAGTATTGAGTTAGCCCTTCATCATAGCAGGTGGCTATAAAAAGGGCTTATATTATTTGAAATGTCAACTTAAGAATATTTTTACCATGTCCAATTCACATTATCAAGTTAATGGATAGAACCAAATTATCTCATAATTAAGCCTCCACTAATGCAGTACCACAGTTTCTTTTTACCCCTTCATAAATGAAAGATGGCTCAGGTCATTTAAATTTCTGCTTAGAGATTTCTGTTCAGTAGCCAGAGAATCCTCTTGTCTCCAATTCCCAGAAGAAGCAAGTATAAACAGTACAAGTTTTGGAAATGGAAAAAGTTTAACTGCAATATTATAGCTGCCTGTAGGTTTTTTTTTTTTTTTTTTAGGGGGTTATATACAGGCTTCAAAGATGTATTTGACTTGCATAACTCATTGTCACAGTGGTTTTGTTTTCAAGCAATTAATTTCCAATGAGTGACAAGTTCTGACTATTTCTCATTAAAAGTCCTCAATGATGCAGACTTCATTGTCCAGGATGCGCTATAGAAATCACTGTCCTGTAGCAAATCAGCAATTTTTTTGGTTTGGTGACAATTTTGTGTTATTTTCTTATGCAAACTCTTTTGACCACCAGTTGACAGGAAAGAGGTCAAGCACAAGAATTTTGGTCCGTGTTTACTGTGATGCTAATTATTATGGATCGGACTGTAATAGATATTGTGTAGGACGGGACGATCGCTATGGCCACTACAAGTGTGATGCCCAAACTGGTAACAAGGTCTGCTTATCAGGCTGGAGAGGAAGCAACTGCTTGATACGTAAGTAGGGACTTAATTAACATTTTTAGGCCCCAAGAGTGACTAGCATATTGTGTCTTTCTTTTAACTGGTGCTTGCATGATGCTTTTATGCTAGTTTTAACTTTGTGCTCTTCTCCCCAGCAATCTGTTCCCACGGTTGTGATGCAACTCATGGTTCTTGTACAAAGCCCAGTACTTGCAAGTAAGTAATTTATTTGCATTACATTCTTCATTCACATGACTGTTATTTTTCTAACACTTTGACAACTTTGGCTTTGCAAAAAAGATGACCAAATTTTTTTTTTTTTGTGACAAATTTTGTAGAAGGGGCGATTTTGTTCCACATGACTTTGGAACCAATATTGATGCATTTAGAAAGAAGATAGACAGAAAATGTATCATGGCATGTTGGTTGAAACATTTTTTGCATCACCTTTATGGTTAACCATATACAAGTAATTTTTTGGTCTAAATTTGTAATTTGAGTTAGTGAATGGTCAATGAAGATAGAACATTAGATATCAAACAGTTATAATTGCATAAAAGGGACTGTTGTTTTCCTTCCTTTTTTAGCTGTGAAGCTGGTTGGACAGGAGCTCGTTGCACGTCATGTGTTAAGAAACCGGGATGCACTGGTTAGTGAAAGAACATACTGCCATTGATGACACTGTTATTGACACTGTGACCTTGACATCATGATAATTATATCAATGACAACAAAGTGATAATGTTGATGACAGCAAAATGACATGTCATCCACCTAAGTTATCAGTTTTTATTTCCTCACTGTTACGATACATCTTTATATTGCTCCTAGCATTTTGTCATTATCATTCTTATCACTAAAGTTAAACTCTTGACACCATGATGGGAGTAATGAAGATGATGATTTCAGTGACATGCAAGTAGCCGGTATATGTTACAGTAGCTTCTTTATAATTCAAGGATTACAACCCTTACTTAATACATGAATCTTGTGGCATCGTACATTGTCTGCACCAAGCTTTGTTCTAAGCATTTGGGCTAGCTGCGAAAGGCATCTGACTCACTCTGATCTGCACTTGTGGTTGAAATTTTTAAGAAACAGTCCATAGTTATCGCTGATTATCTTGCCACTGTGAAGCCGGCCTTGGGTTCATAAACTTCTTGACGCACACCCCTCAAGACCTAAACATTAAGTATTTCCTACAGTTTTTTTTCTAGAAGATGCATGGTGAAGTAAGTAAGACGAAGAGGTATTTTGAATAGTACTGTCATATTTTGTGTAAGTCTTGAATACAGTTAGATTAAATCTTATGTAAACTACATATATTAATTATTTTTAATTTTAAAAGTGTGAGGGGGAAACCAGCCCCCTTTTGTCCCTCCACCTCCCTTCCTCCCCTGGTTGGTTTCTGACCCTTCAATCTACCTACACTTTTTATTGATTGACAGGAAATGGCTTCTGTGTAAATGGGAATGACTGTGTTTGTAGTCCAGATTGGACAGGGCCTAACTGTGAACAAGGTATGATTAACAAAACTTGTTTTTGTTTTTGATTAGTTTGTCGAAATGTTCTTTATTTAGTTACACAGGGCCTCATTTGACTTTTTCTTGAAACACAAAAACGTCCTATGGATATTTCTGGTCTTCACAATTTTCCATGATTTACAGTTAGTAAGTCACATGAAAAGCCACAGACTATAACAATGAAACTCAATTATTATGATAGACTCAGATCTTATGACTTCTTTCTGTGTGGGGCTGAAAGGGCTGACAACCATTGAAGCATTAAATTTTTATAATTACTTTTAATACTTTATGGACGTTTCTTCTTTACATTTCATGATTATGTAACCATGTTTCCATGAGCAACTGTTGGATATGAGATGGCAAATATTAAATAGCAAATGTGGCACGTAGCAATGAGTTGGCTATGATCAATCTTGTATCTATAAGGAGCACAAATGAAAAACAATTATTAAAAGTTAATTAAATCCCAATCGTCTGGATATTTGGAGCTTTTTTCACCTCGGTAACAGTTGGTGAAATGCATTTCCATATAAGGTGACTTGGATTATGAGGTTATAACCAGAGTTGAGAGAACCAATCAGAACTCTAGAAATCCAATATATGGAGTTGAGTATTTCTAAGACTAAATACAATTTATTCCTGATCCTTCAAATCATGTTTCTTTTGTTGTATGCTATATGATACAGTTGCTTGTCTTTTTATATGTCAGACCTTAACCGTTGCCGAGATACAAGCTTATGTAAGAACGGTGGTACTTGTATTAACACTGACCCTGATCAGTTCCAATGTGATTGCCAACCTGGCTTCACTGGTGACCGGTGCCAAACTGGTGAGTACTGCAACTAAAATTAATGTGAAAGAAACATTGACAATCAATCAGCCAGTCAGTTAACCAATCAATGAGTCAATCAGGTTGTGGTCACCAATGACTTGAACACATGTGCTACAGTCCTGCATGAGACTTATCCTGGGAGCTCACATCACTAAGGGTGTTATTCAGAGAGAAAATCGTGAAAAATATTGGTCTTTGACAATCATATGTTGCATGCAATTGGGTCAGTGTAGCTTTTGTTGGAAAACTTACCTGGTGACCATAGTAAGAGGTTACAAGCTAGCCCTTAATAGGAACTCCAGAAATGTCTGGCAAAGTGTGTGCCCCTTTAATGGAGGATGATAGAAATGATTGGTAGACCATGATATACAAATGTATAGTTTCTTTGTGGGGGTTGGCGTGCCCCATTCTCCACAACACTTCAGAACTCAAGGGTTGTTTTCTAAGTGCAAGCTGAGTTAGTACTGTACATGATTTGACAGTGGCACTAAAGAGGCTGAATTTTTAGAATGTATGTTAATTAATTTGATTTCCAAACAATTTCATATCTATTTATCCAAATATTGATCCTAGACATAGTATATTTTTTTCTTGTATCTTATTTTTATCCTTTACGTTTATGATCTGAGGATTGGGTGATTGCATGATACATAGTTATAGTCTCTAGGTTTTTTTGTCTCTTTTTTTAGAAATTGATCTTTGTGTCGCTCAACCGTGTGAAAACAATGGAGCATGTCAAAATTTCCGTACATATTACACATGCTCCTGTCCTGCTGGATTTCAAGGTGTCAATTGTGAAACAGGTAAAGAAATTAGCAGTGAGTGGCCAGTGCTTTCAATTAAAGATTTGAAATAGGTGGCCAACCTCGGTACAGCACCCACTGGAGAGTGACTTGAGTGCGACTCGAGTGTGGTGACCGCAACTCAAGCATGGTGAAATTTACCCAGCGACTCAAGACAGAATACCTGCTGGAGCTCTGGCGGGTGCCAGTCTTATTGAAAGCACTGAGTGGCCTATAAATATTAAAAAAAAAAGTTCCGTGACCAGAGTGATTGAATGGAGTCATGCATGCAGTTAAATTGTTTAAATGATGCTATAAGACAACATGCAATACTTACTGTTACAGTGTTGATAGTGATTCAGAGAACTTTAAAGTTTTCTGGATTGAGAAATAATGACCCTGAATAAAATCTTCATGACAATAGCAAATTAAAGGAAGCTTACATGCAATGGAAAAGGTTGTACGTCAAATCTAGTTTTTTAGTATTTATCAATGTTTGTGAAACAATATACCTTGGCTCTTTTTTCCTTATAGATATTGATGAATGTAAGCAAGACAGGTGCAGAAATGGAGCTACATGCAAAGTAATTTTTTTTATCTGTTATTTATAAAATAAACATATCTTATCAGACATTTTGTTGTGTAGCATCGCTGAGTATTTTTACAAGTTGTGCCGTATTTCGACAAGTCCATAGGGCAAGTTAAAATACAAACAACGAATAAAAATACTTAGCTATACTAGCGCTACACAACAAAATGTCTAATAAGAGATTTACCATCCAATACGCGAAATTGTTATTTCAGCACTGGTGAATTTTGAGGATATATTTCTGGAGTATAAATATTGCATGATATTTGTACTTGTCTTGGACATTATTTGTACTCTGGGAAGCGCAGTCAGATAAATAATTGTTACTATAACAATGGAATTGTATCACAAAATATAATTTTTATTTTGACTTTGTACAGTTTTAACCCTTTGCACTGTAACATCAGTACACATATTCTCCATCGACTCAAAGAAATTTATTGAGGTAGCTAATGATCATTTCCTTTATTCTCCTGTCCTCAATGCTCAATCTAGAGATAATTTGGATATATCAACAAAGTTGAAGTGGTAAATTGGCCACCGTTATGATTATAAAAGCTGACGTTTCGAGCGTTGGCTCTTCGTCAGAGCGAATAGAAGAATTGTGGGTTGTGTGTGCTTTTAAAGGCGGAAAAGGAGCTACGTGATTGGTGGGAACATGGCAATGAGAAAAACACGAATAAATTAGTGGAATGAAAAGCATTTGTTGGTACCTGTGGGTTTTAGACTGCCGGTTTGAAAGATGAGCTTTTGTTCAAGAGTTTTCCGGCTTTCCATGCTACCTAAGTGCAAGGAAAGACCGCAGATTGCCATGTGTTACAATCTAGAGGTGATATATATTGTATTATTACACGACTCGGGCAGTCAGAGGGCTGCAATAACTAAAATCAACCAATCAAAATGCTCTATTGCCGGTCAATATTCTCTAATTATTGGACTGGGCACTATCCCGAACTGTCCTGAATGATACCACACTTGTATCCCTTTGAACTTCAGTCGTATAATAAATCTCTTATTAACCAAGCTTGCTCGGGACTGTACTGGAAGAATATCGGCCCTCTGTCTTTTTTTGTGTAGACCTTTCTGCGCTTGGTCCGTACTGTCAAGACCTCAGGCCAATATTCTCCCAGTATGGCCATCGCACTTGGTTAATAAGATCTATAGGAAAAATAAGGAGGTCAAAGGGCTAAACCAGCAAACTAACTTTCCTCGATAGTCAGATCAGTGTGATTTTCTTAAAAGGCGTCATTAACCAAGTGTGAGGTTACTTAAGATGGCTGGATATTGTCCAAGTTCTTTTTTAGCATTTTTATGGACTGAGACAAAGTCGAGGTCCATGAAAATGTGAGAAATGATTGAGGCTATTATTCAGCCATCTTGACAAAACAAGCTGGGTTAATAAAGGATTTATTAAATTGCAAAAAAGTTTTGCTTTATTAAGAATTAAGAATGACTTGTTTACTTTGGGAGCTGTTACAGAAAGCCAACTGTGTTTGGATCTTGTACACAGGTGCTGCAAGTGATGTAATAAATATATCTTATTAACCAAATGCAACGGCCTTACTGGGAGAATATTGGCCCAAGGTCTTGACAGTACGGACCGAGCGCAGTGAGGTCCATACAAAGTAGATTGAGGGCCGATATTCTTGCAGTACGGTCCCGAGCAAGCTTGGTTAATAAGAGATTTATTAGACGACTGAAGTTCAAAGGGACACAAGTGCAGTATCATTCGGGACCATTCAGGACAGTGCCCTGTCCAATATTCAGAGAATATTGACCGGCAATAGAGCATTTTGATTGGTTGATTTTAGTTATTGGCCCTCTGACTTCCCGAGTTAGGTAATAAATATCCTTATTGCCTGAATTTTTGTTAAAAATTGGACAACCTCTGAACATCACTTAATAAGATTGGGAAGAAATGTATCTAATTGTATGAGGGCACATATCAAGCTACTGTATAAATTAAGCTCTTTTCACTAAAATTTAATTTAAATGCAGCATAAACATTAATAAGTGCTTAGCTCTCCATTCCATATTTCCCCCTGTAATGAGAAGAGTATTCAGTTTACATAAATCTGATCACCAATTTCTCCCATGAAAGGATATGGTTAATTCTTATGAGTGTTCCTGTACACCGGGATATACTGGTCATGACTGTGAACACAACATTGATGACTGCCAAAGATCTCCATGTCAAAACAATGGAACTTGTATTGATCAAATCAATGCTTACAAATGTGTCTGTCGTCAAGGTTTTAATGGTAGCGACTGTGATACAAACATTGATGATTGTACACCCATTGCCTGTAGCAATGGAGGTAGGTTAATGTGTCAATTACTGCCTTAATTTGACCAATAAATGATTTTGGTAGATGTATTTTGGTTTTATCAACTGAGTTGATTTAATGTAAACTGGCAATGGTAAAGATTTTCAAAAACTGATGTTTGCAACATTTAATTAAAGCCCTTCATCACCTGGACTGGGGACCAGGGACCCAGGACCAAGACTCCCCACATGTAATCTGTGACCCATGCCTCCCCCCCTAACAATTTTGCTAATCCTGTACTTGACCTTTACTCCATGTTATTTTCTTTTCTTTGTAAGGAACTTGTCATGATGAGGTGAATAACTTCCGCTGTAGTTGTTCAGAAGGATACCTTGGAAGGACCTGTAATAATGCCACTGATGAATGTTCTACTATGCCTTGCCAAAATGCAGCAACTTGTACTGATCTGCACCGTGACTACAATGTAAGAACTGTTTTGTTCTGTTTTGAGGTTGCAACTGAAACATATCGAATGATGCATGGTTTTATGTTTCTTTGATGCTTCCTTATAATTTTTTTTTCAAGTGCAAATTTTTCTACATGTGAGAGTTTCACACAGTTTAAGTGACTTGTAACATAAGTTAATTTAAAAAAGAGGTCTGTTTTTGGCAAAGTTACTCAATATGTTACTCATATTTATCAATTTGAAGGTTCAGCTTTGATGTGATTAGTACATTAGTTAGATGGTTTTCTTTGTAGACTGCATTTAGCAACACTCCTGATAAAGTTTTGAATACTGTCTGGAGTGGTTTCATAGAAATGATAATTGCTTTGGAGAATTTGTTGGCTTTGTACAAAATGTTTGTCATTTCATATCTTGCAGTGCTCATGTCCTGTTGGTTTCACAGGAAAAGATTGTGAAACCAACATCAATGACTGCACTTCACCATCACTGTGTGACCATGGAGTCTGTCAAGATGGAATCAACAACTTCACTTGTGACTGTCATGAAGGATTTACAGGAAGGCATTGTGACATCAACATTGATGATTGTCAGGGTTAGTTTTCTTTTCCCTTCTTTTTGTAATTAAAAGCTATTTGAGAAGTATGTTAGTGAGGTTCAGGAAAAGCTGTTTTCTTTCTGTTTGATGTCTTAACATTCATAGAAAAGCATTAAAAATATTCATAGAATGAGATTGCTAATTAGGAATAAGTTTTTTCTAGTTTCCACTAATTTTCTTTTCTACCAATTTTGGCATGGTTTTCATTTCCTTTTCCAGGAAATTTGTGTAAAAATGGAGCCATATGTGAGGATGGAATAGCACAATACACATGCAAATGTGCCCAAGGCTTTGAGGGAATGTATTGCCAAAATAACACTGATGATTGTGTATCAGCAGTGTGTCTAAATAATGCTACGTGTGTGGATCAGATTGCAAATTACACGTGCAACTGTAGTTTGGGCTTTACAGGTGAGAATTAAGAGAATCTGGTGCTGTGAAGTATAGGTATGAATTCAAGTTTATTTTAGGTTGATGACCCTTGAACTCCTAAGATCTGACTATGAATTCTCCACTCTAGCTTCTACACATTTCCTTGTAAATTAGTTACAAGAATTTTGTTTTCAATCAGGATGAGAACTTTTACCTGATAAGTTTGAGTATTCTCATTATCTTTTTTCTGGATAATGTATGAATATCATTGAGAGAAGTTGCATGTTAATCACTTTGGGAGTTTAAACCTGGGTAATAAACATGAATTTTGATTGGTTTTTACTTATGATCCACAAGAGGACAGATGTATGACTTCACCATGAACAAGTTTTTGTCTCATTGTTCTGTGAATGAGATTTATTCCATGTTGCCTTGCATGCATGCTTCTTTTTGGTACTAGATGGCAGAAGCTAGAACTCAAAAGTGGTGAGAACAATTTAGTAATACAGCTGGCTGTGTCCCATATGCCACTTCATTTGTTCATACCTTATTTTAATGTCATTTGTGATCTTTTGCTGAACAGACCTATACCAACATGGAATCTTTTTGCTAAGTGGATTATTAATAAATTTATGGAACTGCTATTTAAAAAGATGAATTAGAAAATACTTAATTATGCTGCAACTTTTATCAGGGTTGTTGAAACATTTACTTTCCCCTTTTGTCATAAGAAAATTTGACTGTGCAAAGGGAAACAAAAATTAGACTAGAGGAGTGTATTATGACAGAACTTGACAAAAGTGAAAAGGTTAATAAATCCAAAATGTTTTTGTCTATAATTTTGTGAAAAGCCTGTTGAGATAACAGGAGTTGTTATGTATCATAAAACCGAAACATTTTCTACTAATGATGTGGATACCTCATTTGAAGTACCTGCAAGAATGTATAATGTTCTTATCAGTATTATTTGTCTCTTGCAGGTCGTCATTGTGAGTCCCCAATAGACTACTGTGCAGAGAGGGGTTGTAACAATAGTGGAACATGCATTAATGAGCGAGCTGATCGACGCTGTATTTGCCCTCCTGGATACAATGGTTCTAGTTGTGAAATTGATCCTTGTATGAGGATGCCTTGCAACAATGGAACTTGTAGTCTGAGAAATGACGGTGGCTACAAATGCAACTGTCATAACATCTTTACAGGGCCACATTGTGAAATTGGTAAATGTGAACAGCTAGTGCTTTCCCTATTTGAAATCTGCAGCGGCCAGTGGTTATTTTATTGAACATTAGACAGAAATGGTCTGCAGTTTGTGTTCTAAGATTCAGAGTAACAACTGTTTCCAGCCTTGCATGTGTTCACTAAATCTCTGAATTAACATTACATGGAATAACATCTGTATAGCGAAACAAACTTCCAAAATTTGATTTTGTTTTGAAAATACGAAATACTAGTGGTTTTTGATAGAAGTTAGAGAAATTGTAAAATTAATGTAGATGCATCTGGCTTTGACCAACTGCATTTGCTAATCTGTCTGCAACCTAAATATTATTAAAATGCAGATCAGAATTTAATAAAACTGAAGGCGTTTTTGTTTTCATTAGATATTGACTACTGTGATCCCAGAAATGACCTGTTTTCCCAGGAGGGTCAGGGATCTTGGACTGAGTTTGGCTACTGTGGACAGCATGGAACATGTGTCGATGGTCGTACTTCATATTCATGTCAGTGTGACAGAGGCTGGACTGGAAAAAAATGTGATGTTGGTATGAAAATAATGTGTTCAAAGTATAACATCATTGTTATTGATTGCAACATTGTTAAGCTTCCATTCATGTGGACTCTGAAAACTGTGAGCATCAGACAAAGCCTTGTATAGTGAATTAAGAGGTCCTTTCCACCCTCAGAGTTCCATCCTAGTTCCTTTTGAAAGAGGTTGTCTGAATTACTTGGATTTTTGATTTTATCTTATTGAATGACGAGTGGTTTTATTATTATTATTATTATTATTATTATTATTATTATTATTATTTTTTGTTTATTTATTTTAATTTATGTATCAGATATAAATGAGTGTGACCCAAATCCATGTCAGAATGGTGGGCAATGCGTGGAGCAATTTAACGCCAGTTATGTATGTGGATGTGCTGCCGGGTATGCTGGAATGAACTGCACAGAAGGTAAGTTACTTTTTTTTTTTAATTAGTAGACTAATATGGTCAAGGTAACCTGTTCTGCCATCAGCATCTTAACTTAATAGATGATGAAATACCCGTAATGGAGACCCCAGAATATTAATTACTAACAAGTCAAATGTCAATTTTCTAGTTGTTAGTTGTTGTTCTCCTTTTAATATATAATAAAATTAATAGTTATTGATTTCTACCTTTTTAGATATTGATAACTGTAAAAATAATTCATGCCTGCACGGCGCCACCTGTTTGGACAAACTCAATGGATATGACTGCATCTGCCCTCCTGGACTGAAAGGAATACACTGCCAGTCAAGTTAGTATTGGATGAAGATTGTTTGTTTGTTTCTTCCATGATCAAAGTTGAGTCAACTTTTCAGCATAACACAGTTAAGAGAAAAGTGGAAAATGGGACAGTTCATGAAAGTGTTGACAGGGGAGACATGGCGTCCCAATGATCATTGTGCTGAGCTATGGGTCAAGAGGTCTGGTTTTGAGCAGGGTTGTCCCTAAGCGCTGGCTGCTAGTGAAATTCACCGCATGAAAATACGGTGATTGGGGGCTGATTTTTGGCCAGCAATCACTTAGTAAAGCACAATGGGCACTTCCAAGGTTACACACTTACAATGGTTCACCACCTTTGAGCTGCCTCGCTTGAAATTTTAGCTGGCAGCGTAATTTCAGATCTACAACCCTGGTTTGAGACCTGGGTGGGTTATGGTGTTATATCCTTGGGTAAACCACTTCACTCTCACAATTAATGCCCCGTCTCCACCCAGATGTGGGCAAAGTGTTGGGGATGTGACGGCAGATTGTAGGGGAACCGTGATGAAATTGAGGGGGATAACCTTGAGTAGTGATACTTCTAGTTGCTTCCTGCCTGATCTAACTGGATGGACCACTAAGTTCAAGTACAGACTTTGCCTCCATGAAATTGTTAATGTTAGAAATTCCCTCCAATCAATGATGGGAACCAATTTCATAACACATGTGAGACGTTCAAAACAACCTCCTTAATGAGAGATTTGTATCAAGTATGTTAGTAGAGGCTTTGAAATATTTTAAGTGCTTTAAATGCAATGAACTTGCTTTTCCCTGAAGTTTTGTTTCCATGCAGCTTGTTTGCAATGATTCTGTGAACCAGATGCAAATGAAAGCACAATTTGTTTTCCAAGATAGTGGAGACAGTAAGACAAATGTCTTTGCAAACATTATCCTTTGGAAACAAAAACTAAAATTACTTTCCAAACACATTTTTTTATTAAAAGAAAGCAAAATGCCAAAAATGAGATGAGTGCTGATCTGAGCTAGCACTTAAAAAAATTTTTAGCACTTACATTTTGAGCTAGCGCTTAAAAAAATTACTTTTTTTAGTCTTGTTATGTATATATTTTAGATTTATCATGGTGTCAAGATCCCAACCCATGTCTAAATGGTAACTGTACAGATGTAAGAGATGATTTTACCTGCAGCTGTGAAAAAGGTTTTGAAGGAGATAGGTGTGAAATAGGTGAGCATCACAGGCAAAAACAAAGTTTAGTTTCCCTTCGTGGTTTTTGTTTTTGTCTACAGTTGGAGATGTACGAGTGGAACAGAGAGAGTTATAAATACTACAAACATGTACTTCAAAATGATAAATGCAAATGTGCAAAAAATATTTTAAATTTTGATTTGTGATATCCCTACCTTTTTGTTGATGAACTTTTTTTTGTCTGTCTTTTCCCCTTTAGATATCAATGAGTGTGTAAACTCATCTCAACTTTGTGGTCAAAATTCTGTTTGTCTGGATCTGCCAGGTGGCTTCAAGTGTCAATGTAATGATGACTACACTGGGGAACGCTGTAGCACAAGTAGGAACTGCTCTCTGTAAACCTCTTTTACAAGTATATTGATAAAGTGTGGCTTTTCTTAAGAGTTCTAAAATGCAAAATTTGTTCAGTGGATCCTACATTGCAGTCCTGGACATTTGCTTTTTTTTTAAACCTAGGACTCACAGCCACTTTGATCTAAAGGCAGTGATTGCATTGATTTTTGTGTCGGTGTCATTCAAACCAATTTCTTTCTTTTTCTAGGAATTGATGATTGCGAGCAAAACTCATGGTTAGTATAATATGGCAAAACTCAGCTGAGTGGAGTCCAATTGTGTCTGTAATAATACATTCAAGTGATTAGCCAAATGGGATGAACACAAAGTGAGAGTCCAATTTGTTAATTAGGAGTATGATTGCAGGCAGAATTGGATGACACAAAGTCCTGTTTCTAATTAATCAAATCGTGTAAAAAATTGAGGAACAAACTAGCCACGGGTTATATGAAAAAGTAACCGTTAAATTGGCAAAATGCACAATAACAGCACACACTTATGATGTGTCCTGTCCATTTACATAGCCACAAGGTGTACAATGTCCAATAACAGTTATTACACTGACATCCTATTAGTGTTCAAATCAGGCAGGTAATTACCAATTACTCTGTCTTAAAATTATTTCTGCATTCGTGACCAACTCACAAACCTGTTATAGAACTTATTGTCCTAGTTTCTTTAACACTGAGCTTGAGGGACTAGAGGTCTTATCACATCTGGATGGCATGTTAAGGGGTACCTGATCTTTCTAAAGTGCTACGACAGAATTGGTCAACCACCTCATAGGACCACTTTTTGTTTTGCAGTCTGAATGGTGGTACGTGTGTAGATGGTGTGCGATCTTTCACCTGTAAGTGCATCAAAGGCTTTTATGGGGACAGATGTGAACAAGGCCAAGGTCAGTTGGTTTCCTACATGGACGCCATAAATACCCTCAACTCTTAATTAGAAGGGATTTTAAGCCCTTTTCACTTGGACACCATCACCTTTTACTAAAAATGTGTGAAATCTTCTGCATGGAAGACTGCAGGGAAAATTCCTTTAAATTTTACCTTAAACTATCCAGATATATTTTTTCATATAAAATAGGGCTCGCGTCGAATCTTGATTCAAACTCAGTAAATCGAAGTGCTTGTGTATGCGTAAATCATGGTGACATAAACAAGTGTTGATATTAACTTCACAGCGCTATTTTTTTTATTCACTGTGTTTTCAATACATTCTCAGAAATAAGACAAGTCATTTAAAACTTTTTGGGAAATTTCTATTGGTCAGAACTTTACTTCTTTAACTACAAATGATGAAAAATCTAATATTTGATATATTTGACCTTGAAAATGGGGGGTTGACTAATATGATTAAATATGTTAAACCCTTTGTCTAAATCTTATTGTGACAATGATTCGTCGCATTAGGTCACATTATTATTAGGAATTTTAAACCATCTTTACTAGACCTCTATGATCACTTCTGCTGAGGTTCTGTTCCATTAACAGACTCAAGAACAGAACCCCTTTAGCAACTCTTACACATCTTTTTTTGCTCTCCCCACCACTATGCTCCTTATCTTGACAATCCAATTTCTGATGATTGTATAGTGTTGAGTGGTAATCAGTATAATTATATGGTGAAAAGGGGACCATATTTGAATTATATCAAATTTAATTATTTTTGTTCAGATATCAATGAGTGCAGAACACTGGACCGTCCCTGTCCAGTAGGACAAGACTGCATCAACACTTTGGGAAGCTATGCATGTCATTGCCCTATAGGATATATAGGCCCAGCTTGTGAAATTAGTAAGTTATTTCATTCCAAATACAAGGCTGCTAAGTCACTCTGCCAGATTTCTTCCAAATATAGCATTAAGGAGCATAAAATGATAAAATTCATTCCTTGATAAAGAGCTACACTTTGCAAAAACAACACAACACTTTCCCACGATGACTTTCATTAGTTGCTTTCAAATCTTTTTACATGCAGGAACAATCAAAGCCTCTTAGGTTGGCAATCATTTCCTTTATTCTCATGATCTTAAGGAATGATTCAACAGTATAACCATGAGGAGAAATTAGATGCTGATCTAAGAATGATCAGCATCTAATTTCTTGCTAGAGGGTTAAAAGAATAGTAGTTACAATTAATGACAACAAAAATTGTGCTTTGAATTCATGAAACGTTGTGATATTATGTTTGGTCATTGTAATGACCAAACATAAATTATGTGTGAGCTGGCATGAGTAGTCCAGTGGTCAGTGTGCTGGATTCTAGGTCAGACGACCTGGGTTCAAGTCCTGGCTGGGGCTTGAGTCGGACTGTCATTGTGTCCTTAAGCAAGATGCTTCACTCACATTGGTTCGTCTTCTCGGATAAGACGTAAAGCTGGAGGTCCCGTCTCTTGCATCTGTCAATTAGTTAATTTGGTTAGCCGGGGGACATCGAAGAACCCACATCACGAGATTACTCTGAGGTGGTCTGGCCTGTTTACTAGGAATTGGGGGGAGGGGGGCATCTGTAAAATTTCTCCTTTGTTGATTGTAAACTGCCACTGGCAGTCTGGAAAAGTCCCCCAACACACAGTGTTGTAAAGCGCATTAGATCATTACATGGTAAATGCACTATAGAAATTGATAAAATTATTATTAATAATTAAAGAGCAATTTGGTGTCTTGTCTTGTGCTTTCATTATGAAGGCTTGATAATGAGAAGTAAATTATTTAAAAGTTTGATTCTCAGTCGATCCTTCTTGACAGTATTGATGTTTTTTGTGTTTTAGATATTGATGATTGCAAACCTTCAGTTTGTCAGCACGGAGGAAAGTGTATTGACAAAGTGAATGACTATGAGTGCGATTGTTGTTCAGGATGGAGTGGCAGAAACTGCTCACAGTGTAAGTTAAATTAATTTTTATTTTTGTTAATTTTGAGACTGTATCTATGCACTAAAGATTTCTTTGAGATCTTCCTCTCATCAATAACAGGAATATCCAATGTAAAAATTGTACCAAAAAAATAGAGCAACTTTTATTTGAGTTTCAGCTGGGATTGTTTTTATTAGTGACTGTGAATATGACAAAATCAGTAAACGGCAGTTTAAAAAATGAACATGAAAGCGATCTTTGCAGCGATGGGCACTAACTGAGCAGTAGGGAAAATAAGGCCTGAAAAAAATTCACCCATGACCTCTGTGATACCATACAGTGCTCTACCAACTGAGCCAACAACCTTAACTGGGAGTTGGTCAATATGTTTGTTTGTAATTAACCTGTGAAGTGATGAATTAATGACTGAATATATGAAAATCATATATTGTTATAGTCTTGCTTTGCCCACGATCGGTCCAGAAAACAAAAATTGCACCCAAAACTGAAACCAATCACATTTTGGTGATTGGCTTCTTCCTTGCAAATCAGGCAGTTTGTTTAATTTCATTTACTTTGAATTCTCCTGGGCTATTGTGATTACATTGGTTTTTATTCTATGCCACTCAATTGGAATGCGCTCTAATTTTACATTACTGAGTAAGAATTAATCTTGCTTGTTCTCAAGTTTGCAATAAAAAAGTATGTTTTTTTTTCTTAGTTAATAGTGAAGACGATGTCTGTGGTTGTGATCAGGGATTATGTGAATGCAACAAGGAAACTCAGACCACTTTTTGTGTCTGTTTTGAGGGGTTTGAAGGTAATTTAGTATTTATAATTCTATTGATTTCTGGTACTGATCAAGTCACTTCATTGGTTCTCTGTTCAGTACTGCAAGTGTTAGAGTTTAAGCTTGTGAGCAGGTCTAATCAGTTACTGTAGAGTTCATTCAGCTAATTTATAAAGGACTGAATAGTGCTTTTAACAGCTCACTCTCAAAATCAGTCTGTTAGAAATTCCTTGAGAATTAAGCTCTGAGAATTTGTTGATAAATCCAACAGTATTCCTTATTTGATATTTTCCTTTCTTCCCATCGCCTTAATGCTAGAACTTTTTTGTTTGATAACTCTTGAGAGTGGAAGGGTTAGATTTCCAGAACTTCTTCATAATTAGCTAAAGGAAGGTCACTGGGTTTCCAAAAGAGAGAGGGAATAGGGAATGGGCTGGGAAAGCCAAAATTCAACCATGTATAACACTGGTAATTTTTTGGTGCTATCAACTGAGTTGATAATGTAAATTGGACAACAGAAACAGTTTCAAAGCTGACATTTTGGGTCTTAGCCCCTCGTCATAAGATAATTTGGGTGGGGAACAAATTATGGCAGCTCAGGTAAGGGGAACCACTGAGCTTTCACCACTCTGGTTTCAATATTTCTCTTAGTTACATATTAAACACCTCTTACTTAATGAGTTTGAGGTCTGTTCATATATCTTATTAACCAAGCGCGAGGGCTGTACTGGGAGAATATTGGCCCGAGGTCTTGACAGTACGGACTGAGCGCAGCGAGGTCTGTACAAAAAAGACAGATGGCTAATAATCTTCCAGTACAGTCCCGAGCAAGCTTGGTTAATAAGAGATTTATTATACAACTGAAGTTCAAAGGGACACAAGTGCGGTATCATTCAGGACCATTCGGGACAGTGCCCAGTCCAATACTGAGAGATTATTGACCGGCAATAGAGCATTTTGATTGGTTGATTTTAGTTATTGGCTCTCTGACTGCCCGAGTCGTGTAATAATGTTAGTTACAAACTGAGATTTGTCCATTTGGATGAAGCGTGAAGTAGGCAAACCACAAATCTTAGCAGAAAAAATGAAGGTTGTGTGACTTACAGAACAAACCGAGAAACAAGCTAGGTTAGAAAGATATGTATTGTAGCTGTGGGTTCAGTTAGAAGGGAGATATTTCAATTAAAACGAACCTTTAAATTCAGCGGGCCATACTTAGTTCTTATTAACTGAGCTAGGTCGGTCTGTATGGGAGAATCTTGACTGAGGTCGCCAGTACAGACCGAACGCAGTGAGGTCTGTACCAGTGACCGAGGTCAAGATTCTCCTGTACAGACCGACTTAGCTCCGTTAATAAGATGTTTATTGTATGGCTGTGTCTTATATGCCAATTTTTTTATATTCTTTGTACCTTTTTTCCTAGACCGGTCTAGATGGGAAAATCTAGACTGCTTTCAATATTGTTTTCAGCCAATCAAATTCGGGAATGCGGTAGTTCCCAGTCCTTGTGAGACATAGCCATAAAATAAAGTGAAATACAGCCTGTTAATTGACCAATCAGAGGGAAGGTACCAACTAAGAGATATAGCAACAGAAATTATTGTATGAGGCCATGATAATTAAGTTTTAAATTATTATTACAAGAATTTAAATCAAACCTGTTTTTTTAATCTTTGGTGATTTTCTTGTTTCTGAAAGGTGACAAATGTGCAACTAACACCACAGAAAAGGAAATACTGAGATTAGCAGCTGAAGCAAAGAAAAGAGAAAATGAAAGACTGAGTAAGGAAAAAGGTGAGATATGTTAAAATAAACTCAGTGGTTGTTAGGTGAGCTAATGATATTGCAAATTGTTTGTTTGGGATAGAGACTAAGATTTTGCCATTTAAACACCAAATTAACATCAAGAGAGCTGCATTGCGACGGTTGCAGTTGTTATAATAAGAACACTTGATACAAATCTGCTTGTACTGAAGTGCCCATTACGGTAAAATGTTGGTACAATATGTTGTAATACAGTGTTCACCCTAATTTCATGTTTGTGGAGGGCATGTGAAACAACTTTTAAAAGCATGTGAAAATGGTCATCCATTTCTCACAGTGTTTTCACAGTGCTCTTCAGTTAGTATTTGAAGTCTATTTGATTAGTAAACCTTTGCTCAAGAACCTTAATGGAAATTTTTAATTACCTGACCCTAAATTTTAAACTCAGGCTTTGTTCAGAGCATCTGAGAAGTAAGGCTGTTTAATATTACTCATTGCCCAATAGTCCATTTTACAGTTGTGCTTAGTTGCCAAGCTTTTTAATGGGAGTTAGGCTAGGGGGGACCTTGTTATGATACAAACCTTGCTGCCTTTCAAATGTAAATCTCTTTGTTATCATGCTAACTAGATACAGGTCCCTATCACGGCAAGGTCACCTTCAGCCTCACTCCAAATCAAAGGCTTGGCAACTAAGTACGCAACTGTAAAATAGCCTATTGCCTAGGGCAAGGTCTTTTGGTGTCTGGGTGTTGTGATGCCTCTAGTTACCATAGAATTTTTTAGATTCCTAAGCAAGTAACACTATACAATTTCACTGTGAAAGGGGAAATGTGTGATTACAGTCGCATGTACAAATATGTCAGTTAAGAACTTGTAAGTATGTTGGGCCCCAGTCTCAAACATGAGTACTTCACAATTGCTTTTATGTTGGTTGTTGTCGAAAAAGGGCAAGTTTAATCTTGATTTTCAACATTTCTGTACTTAGCTTCCAGGAACAGAAATATTGGTATTGCAGTGGCATTCTCTGTCTTGGGTTTATTAGCAGGAGCTGCAGCAATGTGGTTCTACATGAAAAGGAAGTCTGAAAAACCCAAGGCAGAAAGTATGTGAAGTAATTACATACCGCATGTTATTTTCCTTTAGAGCACCTTTGAAGTTAATGAGGTTCTATTGTACCCAGTTCCATTAGTTTTGATAGCCCACCATTGATTTCTTTTGGATGTGAGCCAAAACCACTAGTTCTAATTAGCCTATCAAGTCAACGTGTGTCAGTAAACCTCTTAAGAAAAAAAGCAGAGATTTTAACAACTTTTTTTTGTTTTTGGTCTTGTTGTTGTTGTTTTGCATTATTCATCAGCAGCATTGATGATGATGAAGGTAATGGTAGTGATGTTGATGGAGATGACAGTCACAGTTGATGTTAATGATCATAATGATATAGATAGGCACCTGGGCCCAGTTGTTTGAAGGGTGATTAGCACTAACTCAGGGTCACACTTAAATGTGGGTTTCTATTTCCTTTCTTCAAAAGCCTTTTTCTGGGAATATCCTTTATTTTTTTTTAGAGCATCTAGTGAATCCTCAAATTGTAGACAAGAAGAATTCTACTGAATTTCCTTTTAACACTTCCAGATCTGAGATCAGATTTCACATTAACCGTGGGTTATCTTAACCTAGCTTTGAACAACGTGGCCCTGTTGATGACAGCTATATTTATAGTTATTAATTACGCGAAGATATAATAACCCAGTAACAATCCTCAATTTTCTTTGAAGGGTTTGGGTTTGATGGCGTGGAGGACGTAAATTATGCTGGTGGAGAAATGATGTACACCAATCCCGCTTACAGCACACATGGAGATGAAGGCACTGATAACAATTAAAAAGAGAAACTCTGAAGAGTAATAAGATCTAATTTTCAGCACTGGTGTGCCTCTTAATTTGTTTTTTTAAGCACAAGTATGATCTTAAAATTTGAAGGTTGTAAACAATTTAAATATTAACTTGTTGACAAAGAAGGCTATTGTATGTGTAGTCTGTCATTAGGGACTTTAAGCAAACCACGACGGCTACGGTAACGAGAACGTGGAAAAACAATAGATCTAATTGGCAGAACAATAGCCCAGCACGTGCGTTTTCAAACTTTGTACATTTCTTAGCCGTCCTTTGCAAAACAACATATTTTAATCGGCGTCTTCCGTGGAGTTGCCGTCCTTACTGCTTAAAGTCCCTATTGTTATGAAAGTTTGACAAAATTTTGTTTTACCCATTTGCTCTGTATAGTTAACTTAAATGAGTACTAATGGCAGAAATTTTTGGGTCAATGCGTACATGCAAAGTGGAGCACCATAAATTTAATGGATACATTTATTTTTTCAACTTGCCATGCAGTATTGCTGAAACTCTTAAAGTGTTGTTCCATTTATTGTTAGTGTTATCAACACCTTGCATAAGATACATGTGCAACAAGTTTCATTTTGTAACTTCTCAATATCCAAGGAGATTTCATTTGTTGAAGCTGAGAAAGTAGAGTAGAAAACCCCCCTTACTCCAATTTCCAAGGGAAACAGAAAATGCATCAAGTTATCAGGGATTCGGGTTAGCTTATAGTGAATGACTGAAAAATGGGGCCAAGAAAAACAGGTTTGTGTTTGAGTTACGGAAGGGTTTGAGTTAACTAAGTTGAGGTAGGTGGGTTGCTACTGTGTAAATGAACATCATGTCGTTCAGGAAAAACTTGACTTTCAATTAAGTTAAACTGCTTTTGTGTAGTAGTGTGTTGAAAGTGAATGAAAATCTCCCGAGTACCAGAGACCCAGATATTCTGATGAATCTTAAACCTGGCTGATGAGTGCTAGTAATGAGCGATATGCTTAAATAAGTGATAACCATGCATTTCAGCGAGGTGATAATGAACTTAATCAATCCTTGTCACAGTTGCTGCATCTTGAAATATTTAGGCAAAAAGGTTTTAACTGCCTCATGCAGGTTTGACTTATTTTAATGTTGCTCCTTTCAAGAAGATTTACATGTGATTTTTATCAGTTATTAATTAAAGTAATGCTTCTATTAGAAAAGTATTATTAAAAAAAAAACTCGTTTCCTACTTTTTACTTTAAGTTAAACTTTTTATACTAGCACAACACAAGTTTTTGTTGTATGTGGAATCATATTCCTACTAGCCACTGTATTAGTAATACTTAGAGAGTCAAGTTGAACTTATTTTTTAGCATTTTATACAAAATGTAGCAGTCAACTTTAGGTTAAGTAGTGTTGAAACTATTTATTGTCTTTGATAAAGAAAAAGGATTGTCCTTAACTTCAAGAGAAGTCTGTGCATTTGTAAGAGATTTCATTGAATTAGTTCTCACAAACAAGGATGTAGTGGATGGAAGATTGTGATCACTGGATGATCACAACTAAGTTGATGTTCAGAGTTTTAAGGGAACCATACATACATACATTTCAAAGCATATTTTATGATGACATAACTGCATACAAGTATGCAGACATTACCAGAAAACTCAGGAAGCACACTGGTTACAACTTTTCTTTGCATCCAACAATTCTCAATGACTGTCTCCGAAAAAAAAAAAAAATGTTTATTAATGATAATGAAAACAATAAAGAAATTGCAATCTTTGTATGTTAGAACTGGGATTTGATTTAGTTATGTTTATCTTATTGTAACCATCCCCTCTCCATGAGTGATTAAAACCAAATTAATTTTGTCCTTCCAATTTTAATGCAATATCAAGGAGACAAGCTAAACATAAATGGTGATCATTAGTTGATTTAATGCCAAATTCTCTGAACTAACATTATAAGAATTGTATGACAGATGGTAAGGAGAATTACAAATTGAATCTTGTGAGTGAAAGGAATTAGATAGCAACAGCAATTTCACAATTTTGAAACAGAATGTAAGCAAATTGCAATAACATGTTACATGCTGCATGGCCTCAAGGAGATTTGGGGTTTATTTTGGGTCTCTTTTAGCAGCTGCTGGTTGGTCTTGTCATGCAACAGCCTCTCTACCCCAGCACTGGTGAGAGAGAGAGCTTGCTTGATGATTCCAGACAAGGGCTGGGATGGAGACAAGGGGTTTTGTCCCTGAAGTGGATTTTCTGGTATTTTTTGGCATAAGATTTGAGGCAAAATCAGACTTGGATTTATTGATAATTTCAGTATTCCCCCCCATCCTGGCCTCCTACACAGACCCTCTTTGGGAAGATCCTTATACATGTCAGGACTTTGTCAATTGTGCTTTGAGATGAAATAACACAGTTAAATACAGACTCATTCCTATTTAAAGTACAATTCACTTTGGTCGTACCAAAGATCAGGCTTTGGTTCTTTGATTGGTCAACAGCACTACGCCTTAGCTAAATCTCTATCCAGAGGATCCTGCAGTGCATTTAGGTAAGAGTTACCTGCTGGATAGCAATTCGTCCTTTAAACTGGGGCTATGATGTAAATATTGCTCTGATCCTATGTTCTAAAACTTACCTGGCTGGTGAAAGAAATTCAAAATGATGATGCAACTTGAATTTCTGTGCAAAATAGATGAAGAAGGGCGTTGTTGGACACTTCGAGGGAAGGTGCAACATGATACGGCCTCTTTCTAATAGTAGCAGTTGCTATTTAGAAGGTAAAAATCATCTTTTTTTGGTAGCTTTATCATTTTTATCACAAGAAGATACAATAGTAAACTACATAAGTTGAATCACTAGACAAAAAAGGCCAGTAAGTTCAATATGACCTTCATCACTCACAAATAATGAAACAGATGACATTCAAGTTTCTACAAAAGCCTCTTGAATCAGAAGTCTACTCTACATAACTTTTACAATGAGAACTGGTCTTGGAAAGATTTCCACATACCCCCATAGAGTTCTAAAACAAACAACAGTTTTAAGGGTTAAACTTTTATTTTGTGATGGAGTTCTTTCTTCAAATAACTATATCAGGGCTCGACACTAACTGTAGCCCACTGGCCACAGACTAGTAGAAATTCAGTTTTGGCTAATGGTTTTCAATTTCCACTAGCCAGTTTGGCTAGTAAACAGACTGAAATTGTTGTAACTTATAAAAACATCTAAGATGTCATTAGTAAGTTGAGAAGTTAGTGTCGAGCTCTGTATATGCATTAAGGGGTCCATGGGGTTACACTGAAAATTTGCCCTGGTCTCTACAAATTAAAGATATCACTTTACCACAATTCACATATCCTCACTGTAATATTCCAGGTGTCTATCACAGGAAAGTTACAAAGTGCCAGTACCTTCACAGATGACTTTCAAAGGATACATGTGTAGCAGCAAGACTAACAGCCTCCTGGTGCCATTAACTACAGCCCTCAAATGGAAAGTTTCAGCTTCTTTGCACTTGCTACTCACATTGTTTGTTAACAGCAAGCAATGAGAAGAGGATACCTCGTAGAGCACTTCATTTTTTTAACAATTCATCTACAACAACTCTTTCATAAATGCGTATAAAGTTATTTGTAAAAAAATCCAAGTGTTGCCGTAGGTGTTTTTAACAGTCCTCCAACTTGGAAGAGAAAAGTTCAAACTTACATCAGAGTTCCTTTTTACACAAAACGATACAAGAATGATTCGTAGTTTACTTTCCAGCTGCCATTGGATTTCTCAACACCAAGATCACAGAATCTCCTCGAAGAAACATTTTGGCAATGTATCTATCCTTATTGACTGGTTTTGCCTTTTTTCCTTTTCCTGACTTGGGTGTTTCAGTCCACATTTCTTTCACGTTTTCTAAGACCATATTACAGTGCCTATCAAAAGCTTTTACCCTAGCTAGCAGCTTCTTGTTGTTTCGACAGTTGATCAGAACTTGAGTGTTATTCTTCACCGATTGCGTTAAGACGGAAAGAGGACCCGTGTTAAACTCTTCTTGCTCTCTCTGAGAGAGTTCCTCTGGTGTCATCTCACTCTTGGGCTTGTTCATTCTAGGGAGAGAAATGGCAAATTTCAAAAGTGAGATGCGGATGAACCCTTGACTGAACAGTGACTTGTGACATCCTTCACTTTGACAATAAAAATTGCAACATCAGTCCGCCAGATCCCAATAAAAAATAACAACATGAAAATGAGGTGGTAACAACTAATCAAAAATGAGGTATTGCTTACAAGGATGCCATATTTTTATCTGGATAATTTAAGATTGTTAACACGGCTTCAGAAATGTTTGAAGAGTAAAACGTTCCTGAGCGTTGTCGTCCTAAAAATCGCTGGCGCGTATTCCTATGGACGTATGCGCAGAAGGACTCTGCTTAGTGACCTCTTGCATTCCTTGCTTTCGTTCTCCTTGCGTTTCGGAAGTTTGTCGTAGTTAAACGCGTTAAATCATTGGTTGAAGAGGCCAGAATTGTTGATTACCGTGAAACTATTGCAAAATGTCCCTTGCTGATGAACTCCTAGCAGATTTGGAAGAAGCTGCCGAGGAAGGTGACGTGGATTTCAGAGAAAACGAAGATGGCATCGAAGAAGCAATGGAAATTTCAGGCTCGATAGACACAGATTCAAAGTCTGTTAAAAGTGTTGCGAAACTAAAAGACAGTAAACAGCTAAATGACGTTCTGTCTGGGATCGAAGAATTCGAGAATCAATCCCGTGATCGAGTGTTTGGTCCCGTAGAAGTGGACCCTGAGTATCAGCTGATTGTAGAAGCTAACAATCTTACCGCTGAAATTGATAACGAGGTCACTATTATTCACAAATACGTACGAGATCTTTACGTGAAACGTTTTCCAGAGCTGGAATCACTCGTTCCCAATGCGTTAGATTACATTCGTACTGTTGAACTGCTCGGGAACGATCTCGAAGCTTCAAAAGTTGATTTGACAGATATTCTCCCACCAGCCACCAAAATGGTGGTTAGTGTTACAGCTTCAACGACGCAAGGGGAAAAGCTTGAAGAGGAAGAGATCGAGCGTCTCATGGAAGCTTGTCAAACTGTTACTGATTTGCTGGATGCTAAGTTTAAAATTTTCCAGTATGTTGAATCCAGAATGACTTTCATTGCACCCAATCTATCAGTCATAGTTGGGGCATCAACTGCTGCTAAACTCATGGGTTCTGCTGGTGGGTTAACAAGTTTGTCAAAAATGCCAGCTTGTAATGTTCTTTTGCTAGGATCCCAAAAGAAGACACTGTCTGGGTTTTCTAGTGCAGCAATATTGCCACACACTGGACACATTTATTTCAGTGAGTTTATCCAGGTTGGTGGAACATTTTATTTTTAGCCCTATAACTCCAATAAGTGACCAAGACATAATTTCACCTTACAATATCAATACAATATCAAGCAAACAAGCAATGAGAATGAAAACAAATAACAGTTAGGGGATTATTAGTTGATCTAATACCAAATTCTTAGAAACAACATCATAAGAATTGCATGGCAGACAGTAAGGAGAATTGCTATTGAGATCTTGGGAGTGAAAGAGTTTATCAGGAATTACAGGGTGCTGAGGGATGAAAATTTGAGTAGAGCTGTTGTTGACTCATCAGAATTATTTGTTTAATTATTTGAGAAATGTAAGGAGGGTAAAATGATGATATTATTCACAAACCCAATATTAGTGAGAGCTATTGAAAGTTGATTGTGGAATGAGAGAGAGAGAAAGTCATGGTCTTGTACCATTAAGGCACCTAACCATGTTTTTTCTTTGTTTTTGAATTTTTTATTTTCTTATATGTCTACACTTAGGACATGCCAGCTGATTTGAGAAAAAAAGCCGCTAGAGTGGTGGCATCAAAGTGTTCCCTTGCTGCAAGGGTGGACGGTTTCCATGAGAGCACAGATGGATCTGTTGGACAACAGCTCAGGGAGAATATTGAGGGGAAATTTGACAAGTGGTTGGAACCACCACCTCTTAAAGAAACCAAAGCTCTTCCAAGACCAGATGACGCACCTCGTAAAAAGCGAGGTGGCCGAAGAGTGCGGAAAATGAAGGAAAAGTTTGCTATCACAGAGATGAGAAGGCAGGCTAACAGATTAGAATTTGGCCAGATTGGTGAAGATGTCTACCAGACTGATCTGGGATTTTCTGTTGGGACCATGGGTAGGAAAGAGAACACTGGGCGTGTACGTACACCTGCTGTTGACAAGAAGACGCAAATATCCATCTCTAAACGTCTACAGGTAAGCAATTTGCACTGTGCAACAGTTTGTGACAGCATGTGTTATATTAATTTTATATGTCTCAGAAAAGGAATTAAATATACAGTAAATATAATAATTAATGTCAGTTTCTTCTCTTCATTGATTCATAGCGGAGTCTTGCACAATCTCAGAGTTTGGGTGGTCAGTCAACAGTTCGCCGAGCTGTATCAGGGACAGCTTCCAGTGTAGCATTTACTCCTCTCCAAGGACTAGAGATTGTCAATCCCCAGGCAGTGGAGAAGAAAGTAGAAGATGCAAATGCTAAGTATTTCTCCAGTACTGCAGGATTCTTCAAGGTCCAGAAAAAATAAAGAGAGATTGTGAACCAGTTTATGTAAAAAACAAGCAACAAAATGTTCTTTTGCTTCAGTTTAGGGTTAGACAAAGTAAGCAAAGTTAGCCCTAAACATGGTTCTAATATCCCATGTAAGGAAAATATAGGCATAATAGGCCTTTTGCAGCTAGAGATCATGTGCTTAGATACTGCATAGCAATGCCACACTGGAGAGCAAGCACTCCAGTGATCTCAGACAGTATAGAGGTCACAGAGGTCTGCATTCAAACAAAGAATACAGCGGATAACAGGTCAAAAGGTATCCCAATTAGAGAAATCCAGTAAGAAGTAATCAACAGCTTCTCCGGAGTGTATCAGCAGCAAAATCATGCCAAAATTCGATTTTCGCTGATACGCTCCAAGGAAGCTGTTGATTAAAACTTACAAGATTTCTCGAATTGGGATGCCCTTTAACTTGTTATCCGCTGTATTCTTTGTTTGAATGCAGACCTCTGTGATCTCTATTTTATTGGAGATCACTGGAGTGCTTGCTCTCCAGTATGGCATTGGTATACGGTATCTAAGCACGTGATCTCTAACTGCAAAAGGCCTATTCTTGAAGAAGAAAATATTTTGTTTAGTTTTTCACTATTTTATCTGTTACATTCAACTGTGGGGTTCCTGTGCACTGTAAATGTACTTGAATGTGTCCATTAACAGAAGGAAGCAAAGTACAAGACAATGTTAATAAATGATACTTTGATGCAGAAATTTCAAAAGTCCACCAAACCACAGCTGGCAGGATACAAGGAATATACTCTTTTCCTCATCCAACTCAAAGTGAAATGTGCCTAGTTAAGAAAATTTGGAAGTATGCGCTGAAATATTGAAATCCCCCTTCCTTTCTTTCTTGCTTCATTTTGTGTCACTTTCCTATGTCATCATCTTGCTGTTAACTAACTGTAGCAGTAGAGTAGACTATTACGGTAATGACTCAACCTAAAGGTACCATTTGTAAATGTAAAGCAGTTTTGATACATTAAATGAAAGTGAGTAATTCAAATCATAGCTGTGCCTAGAGTGCCTGGTCACATGTCTGTGAAGTCTAGCATGATCCTTCATAGGACCAATTTCCACAAAATTCAAATTAGTTTATCATATTAAACTTTGTTTTAAAAGTACTTAAGCCGGCCAGTATTTCGTGACAGATTTGCCTTCATTCCATGTAAAACCTTGTTCACTATATTATGTGCTGTTGAAATTTTGCTAGTACATTAAATACATTTTTTCATGCTGTTGGGAAATTTACTTCATGGGGCATTCTTTGCGTTACCAGTAATGTAGTTCTTCAATACTGTTTTGAAATTTTTCCTTCTTTTCCACTCGTCACCTCCATAAACTATCAACTGGTCTCTTTTCTTTGCCATTCCTTTACTGAGTTTGCTGCTTATGTGCATTGCCAAAGAGAGGTGGTAGGAACGAGCTTGTTAACCAAACTGAGTTCCTGATTAAAATCAGTTATCTCAATTATAAAATGTTCTTACACTTTTAGAATGTCTGCATCTTAACTCAGCCTTTGAACGTTAAAGAGCAAACAGCCCTCACCCCACCCCTGTCTCTTATTAATTTCTGTTGTAGTGATACTAGTGCCTAGATCACCCCTGCTTTTTGCGCCTCCAGGCCAGTTGCGTGAGAATCCCCTCGCAAACAAGTCCATTCTCTCGGCGATAATTTCTCTTTTCCTGTAGAAGCTAGTTTCCCCTTTAAATTGATAGAATGCGTATTCTTTGTGGAATTATAGCGGCGTGTATGGTTCTTATCTTGTCGCATCAAACCCTCGCTGCGGACAAGAAAGACACAAAGAAGCTGCAGATCGGCGTAAAGAAGAGGGTGGCAGACTGTAAAACGAGATCGAAGAGTGGTGATACGCTTCACATGCATTACACTGTGAGTTAGAATATTTGCTGTTTCAAATAGTCTGTTTATGTTTTGACCAAATCATGCTACGTATATAGTTGTTGTTGAGTCGAATTTTGAGAACTTGTGATTTATTTCTTGGCACGCACGTGTGACGTGTTACTTCCCTATTCACAATTTAGTGGACGGTGATAAATATCTGATTTCTCACATCACCAACAATAGATCATCTAAAGTGTGGGTTATGAGAATAAGAAATTTATCATGAAAAGTTAATTTTCTTGATATAGACTACCTAATTTTTACCCCAAGAAGGTTATATATTCAATAGGAGTCACCGTAATATACAAAAGATTTAATTGTAAAACAGTGAGAGGGTATGCAGAGAGAGGATACGTCGAGGGTATGCGGCCAACAACGCGAGCTTCAGCGAACGAGATCTAAAATTTAGCGAAATTAGCGGAAAATATTAAGGGCTGAAATTTAAAACCGACGCATTTTGTTGTCAGAGGTATTTTCCTATTTCCAGGGTTTTTAAGGAGAAAATTAATTGTCGAAAATTTTTAGGGGGTGTACAAAGTTTTTGGAGGTTGTTCTGTAAAAGAAAAGAGGCAAGGAAACCACACATCGAAGCAACAGAATAGGAAATCAACCATGCAAACGACTCAAAATCCGTTTTCTACGGCAAAACGAGGGAAAGTTACATTTTCATGTTTGTTCGATTCTTGGCTGGTTAAACAGGCCAAGTCAGATAAATAATATTCAAGACATGTTTTGATTTAGTTGGCTTTGTTAATTTAAAAGCACTATGTTCCCTTATTTTGTGATAGTTTCACACTCATGTGACCATTTTCATCTATTTGTTTTTTGAAAATAGACTTATGTCAAACATTTATACTTGACAGGGTGTTGTTTCTAGTTGTATGGTTTATTTACAGGGTATTTCAAAATAGTCATCAAAGAGGTGGGAAATGATTTGACATAAAGTTTACCCCTCTTTTACCTGTGAGATATGGTGTGCTCATGTAACACAACCTGTAAACCAATTAGAATGGAGGAATTTTTAATGGTTCATGGCTAATTTCTTAATAAGACACAATTAGCTGATACATAATATTTTAAAGTTTTGTTCATAACCCAAAATTCTCTACTTTAAATTAGCTGCAAGAAAAAGGTTACAACTTGAAAAGGTTTCCTTCAAACTTGATTTGTGTTGATTTGTTTTGTATGTTAAATCTTATTTGATGTTTAGGGTACACTAAAAGACGGCACACAATTTGATAGCAGCATTCCAAGAGGAGAACCATTTGTGTTCACATTAGGAGTAGGACAAGTTATCAAAGGTGGATACTTGTGACGTAGCATGATTATGTGTAGAACAGGCTGATATTTGTTGTCTACTGTGGTGTTATGTATTTAAGCAACCAACTGCACTTTCTACTTGTTTAGCAATGAAATGTATGCACCAGATTTATGCATTATTTGTACTGTGTGAGAGCAACTAGATAATAAATATATCTTATTAGACGTTTGTTGTGTAGCATCGCTGAGTATTTTTACAAGTTGTGCCGTATTTTGACGAGCCCGTAGGTTGAGTCAAAATTCAAACAGTGAGTCAAAATACTCAGCGATACTACACAACAAAACATTTAATAAGAGATGTATTATTTAACACACCACAATTGTTATTTCAGTGCAGGTGAATTTTGTGAATATTTCTGGAACACAAATATTGCGTGATATTTGTACTCATCTCACTCCTTACTTGTTCTCTACAAAGCACGTTTGGATAATAGTGTGAGATATTTGGTGTATATTATAAATGTTTTTATTATTTAATGAGACATAGTTTAACTTTTATTGCAGGATGGGATCAAGGACTACTAAAGTAAGTTACAACAATAGACCAACCATCTTCCTTTCTTTTAAATAAAAAAGTTCAATAAAAAGGTAAGGTAAAGGGTTCAATAAATTTGTCTCTCCATATTACTTGGATTTTCAAACCACTATATCTAACTTGTTCAGAACTGTAGAAAACTGTAAAAAAAAAAAACTGTAAAAGGCAAGCTTTGAAACTTGTTTTTTCCTATTTTTCATTCTGTTGAAGCTGAATTGATTAAAACATTTCTGTGTTGTTTATAGTATGTGTGAGGGAGAAAAGAGGAAACTTGTAATTCCATCAGACCTTGGTAAGTCCCTGCTCAATATTTAATAAGCATAAAATTTATGTTCAATGCAGAGATTAGTCAATATATGTGAAGGATACAAGTAGGATTGAAAACAAGGTAACTTGCCATACTTGAAGTGTAAGCTTATGAAGATAATGCATTTATTTGTTACATACATGCAAGCTGATCCACACAGAAATTTTAGCAGTCACATTCTTGGCATTACAATTCAGCTGTTTTTGCTGTACTAACAGGATTTTTCTTTCCTTTGTGCAGGCTATGGAGACAGTGGAGCCCCTCCTAAGATCCCGGGTGAGTGAATGGCTTGTAGACAACGGAATCATTGCTGAGTCAGAGCATTGGGTGAACACTGAAGAGATTGATACCAAGCTCTGAAATTTTGAAAGCTGGAAAGATTTGAGTTTGAAGCATGGCCTCAAATCCACCTCACCCCTCCCTACCCATAGATTTTTTGTTGACACTCTGCCAGTCTCCTCAAAGACTACAAGTTGCTAAATTAGATGCACATTTTCCAACAGGAAAAAGGGAAAAACCACCCAATAAGATTTCTTCAAGTTTCTTTCAAAATGAGCCTTTTTATGATAGTAATTTGGTTACAACCTTTTTTTGGATGAATAGGTCTGCAGCTTTAGCTCAAGATTACAAACAATTAGTCATGTGATTCTTGTCACATGCACCCTTTTAAGAACAATGATCAGCCAGAAGAATTTGGTAAGGTGACACCGATTTTTTACTTCCCTGTCTCCCCATGGTGACAGTAAATTGTGGTATGCCACTCAAAAATGGGTTACTCCCTTTGCATCTTCTTCCCCTATTTCATTACGAGTTAATTATTTTAATCATTAATTGCACATAATTCACATTGTCTACACCCTAAACCTTGAATGTGATTTTGGGTCATCAAATATTTGAATAAACCACGTTCGTGCAAAATGTAGGGTGACAAACTAAGGCAATTGTAAAGTAGCAAATAATATTCCTTAACCCTTGGGCCCTTAAGAGCGACCAACATTTTATAGCACCTTTAACAATTATTCCACGGGCACGCGTTGGATGTCAGATGTTATTGAAAACTGGATCATTGGATAATGCAATTCAAGACTTTATTATTTTTATTTTTTATTGGCTTAGCCATTATGGTATATGAGCCAATATACCATAATCTACGAATATGGTAAGCATACGCGTCAGCTTAAAATTAATAGGGAGCTGAAAAATTTAATAAAATTTAATAATTTAATTAAACGTTTTTAATAAAACAATTATTCCACGATCGCTTGTTGGATATGAGATGATTATAACCAACTTGGCATTACACGCCTCGTTGGCCATAATCATCTTATATCCAACAAGCACAAGTGGAATCATTGTTTTATTTTAAAAAAATGCCCCCAAGATATTAGACAAATCTTCTCGACTTTATTTTGTAAGAAGAAACCGGATGTTACAATGTACAGATATTAGATTATGGTATATTGGCTCCTATACCATAATGGTTATGCCAATAAAAAGTCTTGAATTGCATTATCCAATGATCCAGTTTTTAGTAATTTAGTGTATTAAAAACTGGATCATTGGATAATGCAATTCAAGACTTTTTATTGGCTCAGCCATTGTGGTATATGAGCCAATATACCATAATCTAATTTCTGTACATTGTTAAATCCGGTTTCTTCTCACAAAATAAAGTCGAGAAGATTTGTCTAATATCTTGGGGGCGTTTTTTTAATAAAACAATTATTCCACTCTCGCTTGTTGGATATGAGATGATTATAGCCAACTCGGCGCTACGCGCCTCGTTGGCTATGGATCATCTCATATCCAACGCGTGCTCGTGGAATAATTGTTAAATATACCGCTCAAATCAATAGCACAAACTATTAACCTTCAAGCAGCTGATGAGACAAAATCACGAGGCAAGAGTTTAATTTCTGACCATTTTTCAGTATATTGAAAGAAGTAATTAAAAGTAAGTTTTTGGTATCCGTATCGTGTATACGGAAACAAATTTTCACCTCAGTGTCAGTGAAAGTGGTGGATATTTACCTCCACTTTGGTAAATAGTCATTAAAAATACCATCCCTGAATCAAAGTTAAAGTGAAAAAGAATAATGGAAATGATGACCAATTAATTATAAAGAAGCTGTTGATTGTTAAACAAAATTTCATTTTCTAGCACCATTGGAAATGTAAAGAGAACAGTATGCAGAATACTCGTACTGATGTTAGCTAGGCCAATTGGGGTATAAAGGGTGAATTACCACTTTAATTCCTTCAGACCCCCCTGTAGGATGCTTGAAGGGCATCTTCACATTATATTCCATGAACTTGTAGATTCCCTCAAAACACAACATTTAATGACTATATGTCTTTTATTTTATCTTTTCAGGGGGCGCTACACTGGTATTTGAGGTTGAGCTGTTAAAGATAGAGCGAAAAACAGAATTGTAATCAGATCTTGAACGCTTTATTGTGTGAAGATCTTTTGATATTTTTTAAAAATAAAATTTTCTCTTAAGAAAATCACTGTATATTGTCAGTGTCTGTTCATGTTACGTGCAATTTAGACTTCTTTATTTTTATTTAATCTTTAGAATTCCGGGGAGGGACGGTTTTTGATCATCGAGAACGTGTTTTTAGATTTTGTGGGTGAAATATTTATCGCTTTTTTAGGCGTGCCTCTAACACAGAATCTATAATCAATAGCCTCCTTTTAGCGAGAAAATATGCACGGCACGGTTATATATCTAGGAACATTCTCTTTGTGATCTTGTTCACATTTGTTAACTCACTTATTTCAAAAATGTGCCAGTCGAAGGTAATTAAGGCGAAAAAGTCATTATTCACATTATGATCTTTACGTAAGGAAGGAATGTCCCAGGAGGAAGTAGATCACCTTTTTAATGCTATAGTTTTACCAAATTTTTCTTATGACCTGCCGGTTTATGGTGCCTCAGACTCCGACCTTTCTATAATTCAGAATTTTTTGGACCGGTGTTTGAAAAGGAAGTTTATGTCCAAGAATGTAGGTATCAGGGATTTGCTAGAGAGGGCGGACAAGGCACTCTACAAAAAAATATCGAATGACCCCGAATGCCCGTTTTTCCAGTTTTTACCTAAGGAAAAGAACATGAGGTACAATCTTAGAAATACGTCAGTCTCTGTCCCTAGAATCCACACTGAAAGGTTTAATTTTTAAATATGACACGTAATAGTTTCCCTTGTGAGTTTATGTTGTAACTTAGGATATGTGATTTTATCTTAAGAATTAAAGATTATGTTATGTTATGTTATGTTAGTCTGCCTCCGCTGGATTGAAAAACGCCACCCAAAGCGAACATAATTATCATGTTCAGTAATATATTCTTTTAAATTACCCAGCCTCTCTCTTTCAGAAAAGAATATACATCGGCAGTAACCCGCACGTCGGCGATGAGAGTAGTTTCGCGCCAAAAGCGCGGCTGCCATAGCGCAGGTTGTAGTTTCTCACATGCTATTCTTCAATATACTTAACTAAACTTAAAATTAACACAATGAAAGTCAGCACAGCAGTCGTTCTGGACACAAATTTAGTCTGGAAAGTAAATGAAAATCCATACGGCATATTAAGGTAAGATTATAGAAGTCTCCTCAATGTGAAGGCCATATATTCAAAGTCTACATAATAAGCAAAGTAACTCAAAAAAGATTATTGAAAAAGAACCAATCAATGGCGGTTGGAACGAAATAAGATATCTTCTGTTTGCTTCTGAACAGGTTCACAGTGCGTAAAATATTGTTTTTCGATGTGAAACGCAGCTGCAAAGTGACTCTCCATTGTGCAAAAGCTAGAAAGGAACTGTGCTTTTCGTTGAAACGATTTCCTCGTTATTTATGACACACTACCACCTTTGAGACAATTTTTAAAGCTCACTTGCTTCGGCTTTCTTAGACTCATTATGATGATGGTAGCGTTTGTTCGCTTCTTAAATTCGATTTTTTTTGTTGTTGATAAACATGAAAGAAGTAAGAAGGGGTGGATCGAGAAAATGCAGAAAGTGTAGCCAAAAAGTTATGACCAGACCGCTAGCTCCCCTTCGTAGCGCGCATTGTTCGCGCCAAACTATTTGTTTAGAACAATTCGTGCTACGATTATTTTATTATTTTATTCTTTTATTCTCTTCCATTGTATATTGTTTACATTTTTTCATATATTTTAGCGTTCGCCACATTTTATCGTGTTCAACTTGCTTCAACATTTTTATGCTGATTTGGATAACTTATTCACTTGAAAATGACCTCAGAGAGGTCGAAACGTCGTGACTTCTTAGCGCTAGCTTTTATTTCATAGATATTTTTCCTGCAAATAAGGTTCCATCTCTGACTGCCCTCCGAAACTGTATAGGGGATGTAATGGTATGGAACACATAAGATATGCGAGGAAATTATCTTAATGTTCGATCTTTATGATAAAGGTAGCTCTGCTACTGTTTTTTTGAAGGGGAAATTACCTTAGTTATGACGATACTGAGTCGCTCGTCGCGAATAAAAGACTGGGGGCACCAGATGTAAAGATTGTGTTGAGGACCAACTCGAAACAACGTGACAAATGTTTCAAAATGCACAAACTGCATAACAATTTCCCCGGTCGCCGCAAGACCAGCTGCCAATATACAAAGTGCAGCCAAGGAGTTGAGACACCATGGTTGAATTAGCGATTGAATTAACGTCGCAACAAACTGTTCAAAGTACTGCTAAGTAGAGTCTTTGATGCTTTTCTATCCTCCTCATACTTTAGGTGTCGCAATATTACTGCCGACAAACCCAGGCACATTACGCAGTTAAAACCTTTTTCAAGAAGAATGCTGAACATGCATCGATGACTTTGAAAGAAACGCTCATCCTCCTCCGCTTGGCTGGGAACTCCAGCGCAGTACAGTTATGCCAGGCGTTTACCATCAGTGTAAATGCTTACGAAACGTTTTAAGAATACATACAACAAGCTGGCTAGAGGGGAGAATAAACACACGTTCATATCTAGGAATCTTTTGCTGGCGTGGCCATGGAACTTTGCACATCGCACCAATGGAGTGATCCTGCCTTTAGGAGGCAAAAATAAGCGTGCTAACGGCTTCTTTATTTTAAACCGAACGCAGGTTGAGCCTCTCACTGTCTCAGTAAGTTTTTGTTTAGGGGCCAGCTATTATTTACCGTCTTGGAGAGGGGTCTCCAAACGATTTCAGGTGTGCGTGGTTTTCAGGGAAAACGGAGTGGGGGGATCAGTCATCGTCAACAGAGGAGTTATAGAAAATTGATTGCAACTTATCTTCTAATGAGGAAGGACCATAAAAATATTACAAAGTCTGAGATAGAGATCAGAGAGTTTTAATGAGCAGTTCTTTAACTATTTTATTGGTATATTGAAGAATAATGAAGCATTATAAACACAGTTAACACTTATAATGCCATCAGTTAACACTGATGGCAAGCATTAGCGTTCGAGCTTGTGACCGGCGGCGACTTAGCTGGAGTTCTCCAAGCGGAGGGAGGAAGAGGGAGCGAAAAACGCGCCAGGTAAGATTTGAATAAACAGAGATTTTACGCCTTGTGAAGGAAAACAGCTGAATTTCCCAGAAGGATTTAAAATTGATTTTCTTATCGCTACCCACGCTCATTACATTTTATCAATCTGTAGACTTTTTTTTACCCCATTGTCAATACATTCATTCTTGAGTTTGTTTTTTAGACCTGCAGTTGCTTTTTATTTTCTTTTGAATGAGCCCAACTTAGGCCCTGTTTACAAGCAAGGAGGGTAACCCTTGTGCTAGGGTTATCCTAGCAGGCGTGTCAAAGATAGCCCGGGTTTATAAGCAAAATTTCACAGGTAGCTTACCCTACCACCCGAGACAACTTACCTATGCTTGGTAACCGCACGCATTGTTATCAATGTTCAAAGGGTCTGGAAACAAGTAAAAAGTTGTCTCGGGTAGGCGAGTTATCCCCAGCAGAGCGTTTACAAAGCAGCTAGGGTTACCCTAGCGTTTAGCTAGGGTTACCCTAGCGCTCAGCTAGGGTTACCCTAGTGCTAGGGTAACCCTAGCTGCCTTGTAAACACGTCGATGAAAAAAAGAAGAAATGTGGGAGCGTTAGGGTAACCCTAGCACTAGGTCACTTACAAGTATTCATACGACAACGTTTGCTATTTTAGGTTTTACGCCGTCGATATCGGTCTGGGATTAAAATATTTGCATTCGAAAAACGTCATCTACAGGTATGTTTGTGACATAACGTACACCCATATTGTATTATTCCGAAGGAAATTTGGTTTTCTCCTTAGAATCTTGGAGCCTTGTGTAAAACAACACAGACTATTTGAATTACCTTCTCCGTCAAACCAGCTCTGTCGATGCAAAGTGGCTGAAACATAATGTGGCTCTGGAGGACGAACAGTCTTAGTAAAAAACATTTGTTTTAAAATTAAGGGGTTACAATTGACATGAAATTTATGGGATCGGAATCGAGAGAGAACGGGCAGAAGATTTTCTGTTGTAGTAAAACAACGGATGTAAATTGCCCCTGACTGATGTAAAGGAATGTACACGAAGGATGAGTGAAACAAGTTTTTGCAAACTTTTTTTCACCAGAGATATAAAACCGGTAAATATCCTGGTAACCTCAAATAGCTACCTTAAGCTGTCAGACTTTAGTCTGAGCGAAGTAGTCGCCTTTAGAATCACTGGAGTATGGAACTTTTGCATATATGGCACCTGAGGTATAGGCAATGTAGATTAGCAGATCACCTTGCAAAGTCTTTATTAAAATAGCCTATTTTTTTAATCTTTTTTTCACTATCTAACTGCGAGTTGTGTTTCTCTTAATTCTACGTTACGTTGAAGATAACATCACCATAGGGATACTAATGCCCACCCCCCTCAGTTTCCGACACAATGATGGTAGAGGACCCCCTGCTAGTAGATCCTGATGACGCCCTCGTCATCACAAGGATTTTTCAAACCATGCTCATGCAGTTGAATCCTTTCAATTTAACATGGCACCCTGATAATAACGAATACAAAAATGGTTACATTGTCAATACACTTTGGTTTTGTAATGCTGATAAACTACACTCCATCTGTGTTACAGATGCTAAAAGGAGAGTCATATACTTATTCCGTGGGCTAATGGTCTTTTGGCGTGACATTATTCCTGATGTTGACTGGTCAGGTTTGTACAAATAATATTTCAATTCAACTCACACATAACAAACTTGTTTGCAGTGTCAATTTAATGATAATGACATTGATATATAACTTGGATCATTACACTTTCAACTTCTGAGTACATTTCGATACTGTACACAATAACTCGCCCTATGGTAGGATAAAAATGCTTCAAAGTCACACTTTTAACAAAGACGTAATGACGCGTCGCCCACAAACCCATCACCGCACTACGTCAGTTACTAACCAACATTAAGGACAAGGGCGAACCGAGGAACAGACAGGGAGCGATTTATAAGATCAATTGCTCTGACTGCCAAGTCTCCTACATCAGAGAGACTGGCAGAAACGGGGAACATGCACAGACGGGCGACGAGGAAAGGGGATGTCAACAATCACATTGTTGAACATCATCGACTTACGAACCACAATATTGCCGTGACTGGGGCTCTGTGCAATGCCTAACCTACAGCACTGACTACTTTCAACGACTGGCTTTGGAAAGCTGGTTTACTAACTTAGAACAGACTCCCCTAAACAGATCAACTACTACCGGCTATATACAAACGACTCATTCGCGACATAAACATTACAAACGAACCGAACAGAACGACCTAACTTTACCGACGGATCGAAACAGATCAATTACGACCGACTTACGCCACTTGAGTCTTACAGCCAATAACATCA